GATCTGATCATAAGTGGTGCCTATTAATATGTTAGAGGCTCCACTTTGTTGTGGTTGTTTTTCTTTTTGGGTTTTTGTTTTAACACACTTTTAAAAATTCGGTTTTGGCTCCTAAAATTCTCTCTCGAATTCTCTCTCTTCTCTTGGTGTGACTTTTCGTTTTCTTCTCTCTTCTTGACTTGGCTGAGCATTGGATTCAATGGAAGGCTAGGCTTCTCGGATTGATACACAAGGAATAGGGAATTGCAAGGAAGATTCAGAGTGGCTCCAAGTTTGAATTCTCTTTTCTCCTCTTCTCTTTCGTTTTTCAAGATATTGATAACGTTTGGAGATAGGAATTGAATTGAATTGCGATTGTAGTTTGATTCATGAAATTGAATTAGATTGATAGATCTATTAGTCAAATTCATAATCTAGTTTGTTAGCAAATTCGATTGAATTAGTTAATGGATTAGATGTTCAAATTAGGGAAACAATGAAGGATGTTGTTTGCATGAACCTATGACTTGTGGATCAATTAATTCTCATTAGATTTCTCTTTTATTCCAGAATTTTATGCATTTGATCAGATTATTCTTAAACTCTCAAAATTCCCCAATCTTTTGTTTCATTTTAACAATTCGGCAAAGAAGAATTAGATACAAACGTGTCCTTTAGAATTCGACCTTGGTTGACATTATTCTACAAATAATTGCGAAAACCTTATGCATTTGATAAGTTTTCGATAAAGCTATATCAGTTACTCCTTCAAAGTTCTCATTTTTAAGCATTACATGTTTATTTTGCCTTATCACTTGCCTTGGTTTTCAATTGTCCCTTGCTGGACTTCTATTTAAATTGTTCCTCTTGTGTTAAAGTGATGGACCGTGAGTGTGTGCACCAAGATTTATCCCTTGCATGTTGTTTATGGTTTTAAAATTTCAATCTTTAACTTTGTATACGTCAACCATCTTAAAAGTTTCCATTTTTAAGCTTGCATGTCAATTTTAACTTGTATGCTGCCTCGGTTTTGTTCAACCCTTTGCTGAAAAATGTATTTAAATTCCTTTTTGCTTGAAATGTTGAGCCGTGAGTGTGTGTACAAAAAAATCCACTCTTGCATGTTGATTTGTTAATCTAAAAGCTTTGATCTTTGGCCTTGCATGCATCGACCTCCTTGAAAGTTCTTATTTTGACCATTGCATGTGAAATTTCCTTGTGTTTGGCCTTAGTTTTTGCTAGTTAAAAGTCCAAAATCTTGTACAAAGGTATTTCTACCTTAACGTGTTGAATGTTTGTGGTTTCTCTAAGAATTTCAACTTGTGTGACCCTTGACACTTGGACGATGTTAGGAAGCGATTGCATGTACATTTTAAGAGGGCGTAAGGGTAGAAAATTAAAGGAAATTGGATGAGTTTAGGGGCTGGACAGTTTGGGACTTTGACATAAAAAGAGTGTTTCCTATGTGAAATTTGATGTGGTGACATTGGGGAAATATTATGTGAGTTTAAGGGAAAGTGTTGCTTGTTGTTTTCAAAAGTACATGTGTTGAGAACTTTGGAAATCATTGAGATAAGGCGCTGGACAGAATTGGAAAAGTGTTCAAGAACAAAGTTTCATAAAAAGAAATGGTAGGAAAAATCGTTTTAAACAAAGAGTATAAGTGTGGTGAAATTCCTTGCTGAAAATTATTTGGACAGCCTTAGTTTTACCTTTAAAAACTTGTTAAAGTAACCCCTAAGGTTTGGTAAAATTGCCTTGATACGCCTTAGTTCAAATTAAGACTTTTTGTTAAAAAGAAAAGGTTTCAATTTATTTTTACCTTAAGAAAAATGGCGCTGGAATGTGTGAATGAATATGTGGAAGTGCTTATAACTCTAAGGGTAGCCCCATGTGAATGTTGGTTATATGCTCATGAGTTTGGCCATGAATAGGTGTGTGTGAAAATGTTGAATTGCCTATGATCTAGGTGCTGAAAAATGTGTGAATGGTGTGTAATGTGTGTCACTACTTGTGTGTGTGATTTTGAATGGACAAACGTGAAGCATGAACACATGAAAGACCCAAAACATGAAAATATATGTGGCTGGAAATTGATCAATGATATGCCCTTGTGATGGATTGGTGATGTGTTTATCAATTTGGAGTGTTCATGCATCATGGTATTCTAATAAGACAAGAATTTGATGAAATAAATATGGTGCAACCTCCGACCCTAGATTTATGATGTTGATAAGTTAAGTTACTCTTGGGATTTTGTAATCCAAAATGAACTTGTGGCTTGGTAAATGGATGGCTTGTGGCAAGTAAGGAACCGAGAGTGTAAGGAGGTAAATGGTGTGAATAACTTGTAAGAAAAGAAAGAAAACCAAGGGAGAATACTAAGAGTGCGTGGTAAGAAGGTTTAGAACGTGTGAAGGATTAGAAGTAACTAAGTTAAGTCCAAACTTCAAAATTAAGATGGGAAGCCGAGAGAATAGGTAGTTTGTATTCATGTGAGGAAACATACTTAAAACAAAAGATTAGGTGGAACCTATCCACAAAGATGTTTGAAACCATGGAATCTATCCATGTCTCTAAGTCGTTTGACTGGAAATTTGCATCGTTATATTCTTTCCATACGATGCTGGGTTGTTGTGCTTAGTTCTTTTGAAATGAGAAAACTATTGAATAAAATTGAGGATATCACTTCATGCATCATGTCATTGTGTGAAATGACTTGAAGGCAATTACAAACGCACAACTTGAAGGTGTGGTAGGTTCGGTCCCATGGTTGACCTACTGGGGGTGGCGAAAAGGGATCTGGAGACTCAAGTGGTAACAGGTAAGAAGCGTGCCTGCAGCCGAGTCATGATCCACCTGCAGACCTTAGCCAAACCCGACAAGGACCGTGCATTCTATGGTCGTCGAGGTCCATTCCTGAAGAGACCCACTGAGGGGCCAAACACCATTGGTGTTCTTTGATGCTGAGCGCATCCGATATATGTATAAATTTTATACTGTTGTGCAGAACGATGTAGGGAATGGAGTCCTCCGATCGCCTTTTCAACTCGAATTGTCTAACTCTATGGTACAACTGGGAGAGTCACCAGTCATAGAGGATGGGATCCCCATGCATTCCATATGCATATGATTGAAACATGAGAGGCAACCTCTGTGAGGCTGAAACTTGCATCATGCATCATTTGCATTACCTTTAGAAAATGAATTGATTGTGCATGATCGTGATTGAGACTCTTCGAAATAAATCTATGTTGTTTCATGCACATCGTATGTGGTCATGTCTTGAATATCCTAGAAATAGTACTTGCTGTGGTGACTGAAATTGATTATGTCTGAGATGCCGCCTTCCTTGGGGTATGGCAACTATATGTTAAATTGTGTTTAGAGAACTCACCCCTTGGCTATATTGTCTCTGTTTTACTTTCCATGCATTATAGATGGCCAGGGACGGGACGAGAGTGCTGGTCCTTCCTTCTGAGGAAGACATGTGGGTGCAGAGCATTTTCCGTGGTCGTGCCTACACCCTTCAGGGACGATATAGTGGAGGTTCATGGATTACTGAGTACATGACTGAAGGTCCTATTGAGATTGTTTTCTCTATTCCTCCTGAAGACACACAGCTACCTTATCCCGCTCTATCCGCCTCACCCTCACCCACTTGTGTTGACCCCCGTAGCCCCGGTGTTAGATCTCCGGCCGCACCTATACCTTTCCCCCCACTGCATTCTGACTCCCCACCTGCACCTGCTGAGGAGGATGTCCATGTGATGGAATCCTCAGTGAAGTGTGGAGCTAGACCATCTTACATGTCACCCACCTACCGATCGCCCTATTCCCCTTTTGTTTCCTCTCACTCGCCTCCTAGCACTGCCGGTTGGATTGAGGACAGTGATGGAGAACCTGCTGCTGCTGTGTCTGCTTCACCTACCTCATCCGAGGAGTCTGATCCTATAGAGGATTATTCCCCTCTCGACTGATTTGGGATAGTTTATCTATTATTGTTAGGGAACTGCTCTTAGGGAGTCGACTATGTTATGTTTTGAAATTTCAAATTCTGCTATTTACTTCCTGCTATGCTTTAAGTTCTATGACTGACTTTGTTGAATCATTTCACTTCTATTTACTGGGGAAGTAGCTTAATGCTAGAGATATGTTGGCATGATTTCTCTTTAACTCAATTACTGTGATCTAAAGTAGCGAACCTCTAATGAGGAAAGAATCTGTTGGTTGAAATGACGTTGTGCACGTTAACTCTCTCACCTTGCAAAAGAACTTTTACTATAAAAAAAAAAAAAATGGTCTCAGATTTTGGTGTTTTCTGTATGTGCGATATCAGAGATATGTTTCTACAATGTGTGGATTTGGGTCGTTACAGATTGTAATTGATTTTACTTGCATCGCAATTTACTTTTTATTGTTAATTCGATTTGCATTTATTGTTCACGATTTAATTCTCTGAAATTTTTGTTTGAATTAATCACAAAACTCCCCTAATCATACAATTTTTTCTGTATAATTGATATTGAAACAATGTGCGTTTACATTCTTGTGAGAAATGACCTAGGTTACTCCCTAAACCGCATATTTGTTTTGAAGAATCTAGCTTAGTTTTGATACCATTACGATGTAGATGTCACCCATCTGCCTAAAACAGTTAAAAATCACGATGCCGTGTAGGTCATAGTTGACAGGTTGACTAAAAGTGCGCATTTCTTGCCAATCAACATGACCTATAGTTTGGAGAAATTGTCAGGTTGCATGGAATACCTTCTAGTATTATCTCTGAAAGAGATCCTTGATTCACTTCTCAGTTTTGGCAGAGTTTTCAGGAAGCTATGGGCACACAGTTGAGGTTGAGTTTTGCATATCATCCGCAGACAGATGGTTAATCTGAGCGTACTATTCAAACCTTAGAAGACTTGTTACGGACTTGTATTATAAAGCAAAGGGGTAATTTGGAGGATTTGTTTCCTTTGGTAGAATTCACTTATAATAATAGTTACCATTCGAGTATAAACATGGCACTATTTGAGGCTCTATATGAAAAAAGGTGTAGAATCCCTATCTGTTAGTTCCAAGAAGGAGTACATTTGATGGTTGCGCTTGAAATGTTGCAGGAAACTAAGGAGAAAGTTGAACTTATCAGAGAAAAACTGAGAGCTACTTAGAGTCGACAAAAGTCTTATGCTAACTGACGTAGAAGACCCTTAGAATTTGAGGTTATGATCATGTATTCCTGAGAGTGTCACACACTATACGTGTGGGGCGAGCATTAAGGGCCAAGAAGTTAACGCCTAAGTTCATAGGATCGTATCAAATATTACATCATAGAGGACCTGTAGATTATGAATTAGCATTATCACCTCAGTTATCAGGACTGCATAATATTTTTCATGTGTCGCAGCTGAGGAAGTATGTTCCTGATCCGTCTCATGTAATCAAGCCTGATGCTGTGGAGATACGAGATGATTTGTTAGTGGAGGTCCCAGCTACTTGTCTTGAGGACACTAAAGTTAAGGAGCTTAGAGGCAAGTTTATTCAATTAGTAAAGGTTGTTTAGGACCCAGTCACTAGTGATGCACATAGGAGTTAGAGGATGAGAGAGTTGTACTCTTATCTTTTCTCTGAGGGATGAAATTTTCGAGGACAAAAATTTATTTTCAGGCGTAGAATTGTCAAGCCTGTAATTTATTATTATGTAATCTTTAATATTTTGTACTTGTTAAATAATTGAAGGATTATTTGGTATTGAAATAGATTTCGATGGAGTTTGAAATTATATTTTTTAGAAAAAGTGAACAGTGTCGGTGAACAGTGTAAAACGCGTGAATAGTACGATGTGAACAGTAATTCTAACATGAATAGTAAGTCGGTGTGAACAGTAACTCCGTCGTGAACAGTACCAAATTTTTTTTCTATAAATAGGGGTCCTTGCAAGAAATTTTCATTTCTTCACACTTCTTAAAGGTTCCAAGGCTATATATCATCATTTTCTCTCATACTAAACCTTCCTAAATTTAGATTTCTCTCCAAAACTGTGATTTTGCGTCTATTCTAAGGGATTTGAAGTAAGTTTCTCTAAGTTTGAAGTTAGATTCACCGTTCATTTCTCTTCTCCTTCTCTTTCTCATAGAAGTTTTTGGTGTTCTTAGGAGAGTCTTCATTCTAAAGCCAAATCTTTAGTGAATCTTGCGTTAAAATAATAATATTCGGTAGATCTGGTGTAAGTCACCGTTTTAAGGCAAGGGGAGCTTACTTTAGCCTATGAACTATGTTTTGATAGTTTGATATGCTATTAAAGAAAGGTTTGAGTTGGTTTTGTTAGATCTTTTGATAAAATTTGAGATATAAAGGATTTAATACTTGAAAGTTATTTTTCTATGATGTAATTGTTGATAACTAATTTAATAACACTGAGATTTGGCTGATTTATTATATAAACTTGACATAACTGAGCAGTTGAAATAAATTTTAGCCATGTTGTATCATGCTGAGATATATGTCTTGCATCATTATAGAGCCGAGTTATACGTTTAGGTGAGTAGACGTATAACAATAGAGCATGCTGAGCTGTGCTGTGCTATGCTGTCTGGATCTAAATACCGGAATAGTTCGCTCCTGGACTGGCTCAGTTCCTTCTGATTACTTAGGCTGTGAAACCAGTTGGAAACCGTTTTCATGTTGTGCATTAGATGGGCTAGGAATGCATGAAGTTGTTGCTGTGAGTAAATATTTTGCTCTATATATATGATTTTATTTTATTTTTGTAATCTCACCCTTGCATTCCTGTCTATGTTATTGTGTACGTGTGTACTGCGATGATTGTACGATGCTACATGAGCAGATGTAGCAAGTGTTACATCTACTTCACAAGCTGAGGGGCCAATGGAGAAATGTTAGAAGCTGGAGTCGAGTAATTTTGCATTAAAGTCCTTTTTCCTTATATTATATTGTTATATTGGATATTTGTTGTAATGAACTTTGTTTTATTTTGAATGAGAAGTTAATTTTATACTTATATTCCTCGTTATTTATCTATATTAAATAAGTAAGTAGTGTAGAAATAATGTTCTTGGTTCCTTACAAAAAGGGGTCGTGATATTTTCTCAACAGTTGCACTAAAAGTGAAATTAACTTGCAAGTGTACTAGTATAGTTGTAGCAAGTTATAAAATCTTGGAATCAAATTTGAGTCCCAAGTATTGTCCTCAGGGAATAGTTTTCTCAAGTATCACTTCACAATTCAACAACTAATTGAGTCTAACACAATTAAATTGGAGTTTGTAACATTCGGAAACAATTTAACAAGTGCAGAATTCAGAAAATATAACAGAACCAGAACTACGAATTTTTGGATTAAAGTAATGTATGAAGTAAAGTTAGGGGTTTACTTCACCAGAACTTCAGTGTTAATTCAATCATGTTCTGAACATTCAAGCATTTGATTAGATTGACAATCAATTTCACAGAGTATTAGTTAAAGGTTAATTCTTTAACCCAATGACCCTAACATTCAACTCAATCACCCTAATTCCTTACGTGAGATTCAATAAGTGTTGCATTAAGAATTAAAAACCACAAGATTGCAAGGTTAAGATGACTTATCCCTAAGAAATCAATAATCTTGGTAATTAAATCATATTTGAGAAACAATTTCAATTTCCATTAATAAAAGCTTCTCATAGTTTAGCAAATTGAATTTTCATCCAATAACTACTTTATTAACAGAATTAACTACTCAATCCAATCCAATATTCAAAGTTAAGATTCAAAATCAAATCAACACTTCCATTTCATATCCATAAATCCCTAACTACAAAGAGCTTAGACAGCCATTTGTTAAGAGATTTAGGCAAGTATACCAAGTTTCGATGTAATATAAAAGATTATTGGTGATGGTCTATTTCGAGGTGTTTAAAAGATTTGTCGTAAATCCTCATCAAAATTTAAACAAATTAATGTAGTACTAGGGTAACCCTAGATTGTCTTCCATGAACATTGGTTATTAATCTTCATTAAACATGTTGAAGGCATTAATTGAACAAGCAATTAAAATAGGGGGTTTTGTGGTTTCAAATCAAAATAAAGAGCAATGAGCAAATGAGTTTAATTAATTCAAACAATAGAAAACAACAATCCTTAGTTCATCCACATAGATTCTATCCTCATTCCACTCAAGATTTAACATTCATCCTTTCTTCCATGAATTAGGTTAATTTAACAAGCGAAAATCAACCTTATGGTCCCAACGAAATTACGCAATTTGTTAGGCTCTAATCTCTCATCCCAAAATTACGCAACCTTAGAATTAAACCTAGGATTAAGCAACCCTTAGTTTAGAATCTCCTTAAAACGAAATTAGGGTTAATTGAGCAATACCCCCCTCATTCACCATTAATTCAATTCAAGAGACAAGGAAGAAGTAATTCATGAAAGAAAGGAATTATATTATCATTAAATTCAAGGAACTCAAGAACCCATGTGAATTCACTAAGGATTACACAAACTTAGCCCTCCATGGAAATGGGGGTCAAAAACGCAATTGGGAAATGCAGAAAACTCATTAACATTAATGTAAAAGCAAGAGAAATGAGAAACCAAACCCTAGGTTGGACCCTTGGCTGTCACCCAAGGTTGCCCTAAGCTCTGGAAAATATTCTAAATTGAGTAAAGAAGAGAAAAAGTTCAAAAAGTGTAAGAAGTCCCTGCCCTAATTTGGTAAAAATCTATTTACACTAAAGCTGGCGCCGCCCAAAGTAATTACTCTCTTTCTTTCATAGTAACCACGCGCAGCATCAGTTGGGTTTTTCCTCTCTGGAGTGATTACTATGAATATTCATAGTAGTTACGCGCAGGTTTGGTTGATTCTGGGCTGCTGTAGTTGTCACTTTAAGCTTTGAAAGTGATCACTTTGGTCCCTTTGCTGGAAGTGGCTTGCTATAGTTGTCACTATCAATATTGAAAGTAGTTACTTTCACCTCAAATTCCTCAAAATCCAATAATTCTTCAAAATAAGCTTGGGGATTCCTGCCATATTATTCAAATGATCAAAATATGTAAAATAAACTATCTAAATTCATGTAAATTAACAAAAAAACTAAGAAAGCTATATTATTTAGCCTAATTGGAATATTCATCTTATTTACACTATCTAAGTCTATTCTTTTCTGTAAAAAGTAATAAATGATTTATAAAAATGTAGTAAAATGTGGACTCATCATAACCCCAAACTTAAACTTTTGCTTGTCCTCAAGCAAACCAAAATTCAAGGACTAAAGTAAAAAAGGTTGGACTTATCCAAAAAAAATTTTCTCAAAATTTTTCTGATCCAATCTTTCAACTCTAATATGCATTTCCTCCATTTCAAAATCATGGAGTCATTCAACAAAGAAAGCATACTCATATCAATCAATTTTATGCAAAGTCCCATACAAGTGAAACAAAAATTCAACAAGGTTCATCATACTTCATACAATGCCAAGAAATTATATGGCTCACAAGGTGGTGTTTCACTCTTCACTCCTCAGTGTTTCAAGATAGGTATTTTTCCTCAATACATGCAAATTTCTCTACCCTACCATATGCTTGCCCATATTCTCAATCTCCTTTGCCTTAATACAATGATTTACCTATCAAAAGGACTTGGTTGGTCACAAATAGGGATAGGTAAGGTTCAATTTGATCAAAGAGGGTCAAAAGCTCAGGTGGGTTTTCAAGATAAGGGAATTCTCTTGAGTGAGTGAATACAACAATTAGAATGAAATGCATCAAATGAGGTAGCCTAAGAGGTTCAAGCATTTTTCACCTTGTTTTTCATCATTTTTTTTATTTTTTATTTTATTATGTGAAGATCTCTTCAATCTCATGGACCTTGCTTCATTTTATTTTCTTTCCTTTTTCATTCTTTCTTTTATGATTTATTGGACTTTGGCAACCACTTTTTTTTTTTTTTTGACATGTATTTTAACATGTATATGTTCACCACCCCAAACTTGAGAGGTTGCTTGTCCTCAAGCAACTACCATCAAATTCAACACCCTAAACTTGGTATTTGCATTCACTCTTGATGTTACTCAAAAGAAATATGTTCTTGATGGAAGAGAAAAAAAAATGTTTTAGCAAACTAAGTTTTGGCAAAAGAAGAGGATGTAATGCAATAAGGTGCAAAGGTGGGCAATGATGAGTGGTTGTGTGTGTGTGTAAAGGAGGCCTCAATCATCTAGATAAAAAATTGCATAATGCATATTAAATTAAGAAGCAGGGCAAGTTCTAGAGAATAGATGCAAAATTACATGAAGCATACACACAGAAAGATAATTAGGGGCTTAATTCTCTACCATGGTAAAAATGGTGATAATTACTTAACATCATGTGAGGATAAATCACCTTGCAAGAAAAGATATTCATCATGGCATAGAGAGAAAATTATTTACAAAAGTAGAGTGTGTTCATGAATTGAATGAAAAATGCAATAAGAGTCTAAGATTGGGATTACAAAATTTGGTTCAATTAAAAGAAAAAGAATAAAAATATATTTTTGTATTTTAATGTATAATTATGC